CTGAATACAGAGATGTTTGACTTTGCTTGGAGTTTTAGTCTATGCCTCCTGCTAGAAATGTAGTTTGGCATCATTAACCCAGGGGCAGTCCTTTTGGAAAGCTTTCCTATTGTCGTTTTTATTCTACCTTTTCTTCTTCTTTTAGTGACAACCAAACCAAGACCCCACAGCGATGAATATTCAAAGAAGATTCCTCCTCCCAAACCGAAAAGAAACCCAAACACTCAGCTCAGCACATCGTTTGACGAGACGTATATCAAAAAGCACGGGCCCCGGAGGACGTCGCTCCCGCGGGACTCCTCCCTCTCCCAGGTCGGCAGCCCCGCGGGGGACCCCGAGGAGGAGGAGCCCGTGTACATTGAGATGGTGGGGAACATTCTCAGAGACTTCAGGAAGGACGATGACGACCAGAGTGAGGCCGTCTACGAGGAAATGAAATACCCCATTTTTGACGATTTAGGCCAAGACTCAAAATGTGACCTCGACCATCACAGCTGTTCTTCGCAGTGTGCTACTCCCACGGTGCCTGACTTGGACTTCGCCAAGGCCTCAGTGCCATGTACTCCCAAGGGTTTGCTCTGTGACATCCCCCCGCCCTTCCCCAACCTGCTTTCCCATCGCCCCCCGCTGCTGGTCTTCCCCCCGGCTCCTGTGCAGTGCTCCCCCAACTCCGACGAGTCTCCGCTCACCCCGCTGGAGGTCACAAAGCTTCCCGTGCTGGAGAACGTGTCTTACATGAAGCAGCAGGCCGGGGCATCTCCATCCGCCTTGCCGTCCCACGCCTCCGGCCACCCTAAACCGGAGAAAGACCAGGCCGGAGCCCTGGGACCGGGTCCTGCCGCCTCCGTGCTCTCCTCGTCCCCTCCGCCGCCTTCCACTCTGTACCGAACGCAGTCTCCCCACGGCTACCCCAAAAGTCACTCCGCCTCCCCCTCACCTGTCAGCATGGGGCGGTCGCTGACCCCGCTCAGCCTCAAAAGGCCTCCGCCCTACGACGCCGTGCATTCGGGCAGCCTCTCCAGGAGCTCTCCATCAGTGCCTCATTCGACCCCCAGACCGGTGTCGCAAGATGGGAGCAAGATGGTCAATGCTTCGGTGAATACCTACGGGTCGGCTCCGAGCGGCTCCCGGTCCAGAACACCCACGAGTCCTTTGGAAGAACTAACCAGCCTCTTTACCTCGGGACGCAGCCTGCTGAGGAAGTCGTCGTCCAGCGGCCGGCGTTCTAAAGAGCCCGCAGAGAGTAAGTGCCCAGGTCGTGTGTGACTTAGGAATGCAATGCGGCCCACAGTGCCCAGATCGTGTGTGACTTAGGGATGCAGTGAGGCCCGTAGTATGGGAGCCTTAGTCCTTTTGGTTGAAATCTCAAGATGCGTGATTGTACTTTTGCTATAGCTAAAGGAAATAGTACATTGCGGAAAGAACTGAAAGTGACAGTCTGCACAACATAACACACCCAATTAAAGAGAGGAATCGTTTTTTAAAACAAAGCAGAAGATCTAAATTCTTAAATGACTCTGGAAAGTCTAACAAAGAAAACAGATCACTATAAAAATTTTAGGTACATATTTCGATTTGAGGTAAAATTATACATTCAAACATGGAATTGGTACATGTTAAAATTATGCTTATCTGATATTAAAAGTCTGCATGAGCAAATCTGTATTAGAAAACCTTTGATGGAAAGAAAGCCATTCTAATAGCTGTTACTTTTTTAAAAAAACAAGGAATGAGTCTCTCCGCATATCTCACGTTGTTACATTCTCACCTTCCTGCTAAGCTAGAGAAGGCTCACTGTTTCTCTTTTAAAACTCTTGGTAATCAGCATCTTATTCCTTGGGTCCTCTTACTAGATCCATCAATATGTAAATTACCGGAAGATCGCTAAGTGATAAATAGGTGGTGAACTTTATAGTCACCACTGAATTTCAAAGATCGAGGAATGTCTCTATCTGCATGGCTAATCCTTTTGTGAGTCCCACATAACTGCATAATGACATTGTAAAGTCAAAACAGATCCCAGTCTTCTCCGTGGTCATTTCGTTAAATTGCACTGCTTTTCCTTGTTTAAAAATGCCTTAGGGCAGCTTAGCTGAAATGAATCACTCACATCTCAAACGGTCCCACCATAGGATTTTATTTATCTACTCATACAGTTACACTGAGGATCTTCCTTAAAGGAAAAGAAGCCTTCAGCAAGTCTGATGAAGATGATGATGACACCCCTTAGATAATTAATATCCAATGGTGGTTATAAACCACTTATCTCCTCTTTTTCCCCTTTAACTAGAGAGATTTCTGAAAGCATTAACTACCTAAGTAATCCCCTCTTAAGAAAATTTTATGTACCTGACTGAAAGGGAAAAATTTCTCATATTTTAGACGTATCTGGAATTAATACATACATGCATACATTAAATTATTTTTAAAAATGAATTAAAATTAGGAACGACTTATTTCTAGAGTGGATGGTTCTCAGCTGGGTTGATTTTGCCCCCAGGGACATTTAGCCGTATCTGGAGACATTTTTGGTTGTCACAACTGCCAATGTTACTGGCATCAAGTGGATGGAGACCAGGGATGCTGTGTTGACAGTCTACAATGCACAGGACAACCTGCTACAATTTTTTTTTTTAATGAAAAGAAATTAAGAAAAAAAAAGGTTTATCTTACCCACAATGTCAGTAGTGTCAAGTTTGGGAAACTCTGATCTAGATAATTTGTTAAAATTTTAAATTTCTTCCAGATGATTGGTTTAGTTGAAACACAGATCAAGCAAGGTTTTTGGAGTAAATTGAAGAAAAAAATTAAAGGAAAAGAATTTGCTCTCCAAATACGTAATGGATAGTATGGAATTAGTAGACATTCCATCCTAGAATTGATGGAATTAGCCAGTATTTTCTCTACCTATCAGTTGCTTTGGAGGATTCTTAAAAGCTCCAGCTGGAAGCTATACCAATTAGCTAGAAAAAGTATATGTAAAAAAAAGTGATTAACTAATGAAGTTATTTCAAGAAAAATCCATCTGTTAGAATCAGTCTATGTGCTACATGTCACAGACTTCTCCATTCGACTCCAAAATGAGCTTTGCGTGCTTCTAAAACCAAGCTTATACATGGAGAAGTGATCCAGGCTCTTTATAGCTTTTAGGGATCTGAGGATTAAATTCCTTTCCATATGCTGTTAACCATGTATCAGCTCTTTAGAGAAAGGTCATGCCCTGAGTTACATGAATTTCAATATTTTACTTTGCACAAACAGATGGGAGGAAAAATGCACATAGTATCAATGAATAACCCAGTTCTATTTACTTTTGACTCTGGGAGAAAATAGAAAAACACTATCTGATGTTAACAAAATCATAGGGGCTCTGAGACTCTTTCTGTAATCCAAAAAGTAGATCCAAAATTGTTGACAATTGAGAGTTAACCTTCAATTACTGCTGCAGCACACTCAGTGACACAGCTGTCACCTTCACTCTTGACAGGATTTGTAGACACCTGCTGATAACAAATGGACAGAATAAGTGATATGAAATAGTAGAACATTCATCACCCCTGCATCACACGTGGCATTTTTTTACATTTCAGAAATAAAAGTAAGGCTGGTGTTTCTATGTTCCATACCGCTTTAGCTTTACTGGAAATGCCAATTTTGGTAATTTTCCGGTATTCAGTTCAAGGCGAGTATAATCTTTCTGCTTTTATTTAAAAATCCATGTCAAATACAACTTATGCCTTCAACTATTGTGTTGAAATCTATAAAAGATACATCTAATTTAATAATGTCATATCTTAAAGACTTATAATTATTGACGGAGACTGGGAAATAGGAAAGAGATGAACGTAGACAATAGTGGTAGACTAGGAATCAATTTCATTTCCCTTCACAATTTTCTAAATATGGCCTTCACAGTCATTGTTCCAGGAAGCATTTTTTTCCTAGATGATGGGACATTGTAACATGGTTTAAGTGTATATGAGGTCATTAACCATAATAATTTTATTTGAATTGGTTATTGTTAATATTTTTTAAACTCATGCAGAGACACAGAAGACATAAGGCACGTAAGTGGTTCACACGTATTTTATTGCTGTAAATGTCTCTGTCTATTATGAGAAGTAGGTGAAGTACAAATACATTTGTGGTGCATTTGAAGACTCAAGTGGTAATTTTCTGCCTAATAGTTTTATCGTCATTTCACAAGTTCTTATTTTATACATCCTTTGATTGGAATCTTTAGAACACCTAGGTCATGAATGGGCCATTTCATTTTAATAAATCGGGACTCATAAATCATAGAAATTGTTGGCCAGAATCAAATGAGAAAAAGGGAAAACCCTTTAATCCCCTCAAATAAAAAATATTTTAAAAAGCAAGGTTAGCCTACATTTAAGAGAAATGCATGAACATATGCTCCTATGAAAATGTACAAGGCATAATGAAGAATATAATTAAACTTTATAATATCCTTGAGGGAGAGCATGTGATTGAAAAGTTAAAAGTAGGAAAATGTAAATAGAAAATTTAAAGAAAAAAATAGAAGCATGAGACAGCAAAGAGAAGAAACTAAGAAGCTAAGGTACCAAGAAAAATACCAAAATAAATGCACACAGGGTTGAATGGACATGTAAACCCATATAGGTACCCACACATGGAGCACATACAAAGGTACACAGAGAACCACAGATCAAGACACAGTGGGGTCAAAGGAGGAGCCAAGGAAAAAAAGATGTAAGCCCGCGCATCTGGTACTTTTCTTTAAAAAAAAAAAAAAAATTGGTTGGCATCACCAAAGAGCTTCTTTATATCAGTGACGTTTCCCATTAATGGAGATACACAATTTTCTACTGTTAATTGTGATCTTATCTTTCAGCCTATAAAAATACTTTCACTTAAGACTTTTAGATGTTCTATTGAATTTTTTACAGCTGTGGATATAAATGGGTCCTATGGATCTGGTGACATAAAGTTGGGGATCAGATGCAACCTTTGTCTTCCCGTTCCCTTTCTTAAAACCAAAACCAAAACCTAAAACCAAACACACAGACAACAACCCAAAACAACCATGCAAACAAACAAAATAAAACCAAATAAGTACCCCAGGGCCCCTGCCCCCCATACATATAGCTTTCTCATTTTTTCAGTAGCTTAAGGTTCAGCAATGTCTAAAACATTCGCCATTGTTGGTGAAACATCTGATCCGACTTACTCTTACTAATTTAATTAAAGCATAATTTTATATGAAAAAAATAATGATTTGGGAAGGAAATATCTCAAAACACATTTCTGCATGTATATAGTATCCCACTTTCAGGAAAAAGGATGGGTATACTAACTAACATCACGTAGCCATCTTTATGATTAGGTCATTATAGTGATCATTGTTGTGTGCCTACTGTGTGCTAGCACATGTTGTGTCTGGCATGGTGACCCGAACAGGGGAGGTCTCATACAGTAGTGGCTATCATTGTCCCATCATTTGTAATAGCAGTGACATGGTATTGTGAGTTTATGCCACTGGGATGTCCTCAGGGGGCTGTCTGAGCCTGCAGAGCTGTCTGCTCGCCCTCTACGGATCTAGCATTTAAATCCACTTAAACTCTCCTGTCTATTTCTTGTTGTTTCCTTGCCTCTTCTCTTTCTTCCAGGATGCTGTATTGATGCATCTGGCCTCTCCTTCCCTCCCCTTCTTTTCCATTCTCTTTTTACTCTTTTCCTCATTGTATTATCACACCATTAATCAGCCGAAGACCAAGAAACCAGATGCCCAGACTTGTCTGAGGCGCCTCTCAGCTGACTTGAGTGTCTGACCTTCAGTGTAGGGACTTAGTGACCTTTTCTTTCAAAGGCCATTTGAATCCACATACCACATCTTGGATGACGTTCTTGGATTCCTATCTGAGACAGTCAGGAATATCAACTTCCCAAGAACTAATCTGTCCTGGGAAACATGGAATGAATGCTACTTTACTTTGGGAGAACTCACACATTTTGTTTAGCCCTTTGAAAAAAAAATTCTGTAAAACCTAGCAAGCATACTAACTATAAGGTCTTTATTTTCCTTCTTTTTATTCCTATGAAGGCGGAGGGCTGACACAGTGTAGGTCAGACCAAGCAGGTATTGAGAAACTGAGGGGAAGGGTGGGGAGAAGACCTCAGGAATCTGGATGTTCTGGGAACGGGTGAGCCTTCAGCCTGTGAGTGCCCACTGCCAAGCACGCTGACTTCGAGCAGACCTTC